GGGGGGGGGGAGGGCTATTTTGACTCCAGTCTCTCTCTCTCTCTCTCTCTGGAGGTCTTGATTCAGAAGTCCCTATTGTATGCGCTACTTGGGTGCTGGGTAGCTTCAACATGGCCTCAATAGGAACAAAGCCAGATAATCAAGGTGGTTGGTCCATTGGGGGCCACAAATGTCATCGATCAAAATTGGCAATTCAGGACAGAGGCCTGAGAGTTTGGGTTAGGGGATGAAGTTTAAAGAAGAAAGTTCTTTCTGATCTGAAATGACATGAATAACTGAGGTACCTATGTCGGAAAGGCGGACATTTCTATGGCAGCAACGCAGGTGGCCTGAGTGGGTGAGGTATGTGAGCCACGGTGGAGAGGGGAGGGCAGTTCCTCAAGCCTGCCTCCACTGTCTCAAGCCAGAGCCTCTTGGTTTCCCGGTCAAGGAAGGATGCAGAAGGTCGGCCGAGCTCCCTGTTTGTAGCATCGTTCTGAGGGCTGGGTGTCTGCCCCGGCAAGTGGCAGCGTTTCTGTGCTGAGCATGGCAGCTTCCTCTCTAGAAAGCGCTTCCCTTTTCGGACACGGACACCCTTGTTTTGGAGGGAGGAACAGACCGTAGCTTCTAGAACCAATTTCGATTACATACAGAAAAATGAGCTCAGGGCTGAGAGTGACAAGCTACGTGGGGGTAAACTGAAGCCCCCTCCCCATGATATTAGGAACTGCGGGAGAGGGTGGGCTGCACCCTCAGACCCTCCTGCCCGTCCGCCCAGCCTCTGTCAAGTGCCATTTATGACTTGGAAATGCTCCCCGCAGATGGCCTGGGCTGGCATCACCCACTTTCCGGAGGGGGATGCAGTTTCCAGCCGTGGGCCCGGTTCCCCCACCCCACCCCCCCGCCCCCGGCTGAACGGGTCCTCTCTCCACCCCGGGGGCCTTGCAGCCGGCAGCCCGTGGGTCGGGTGCGGGCGAGGGGGAGGGGAGCTCTGAGAGACGGGTCCGAGGCCGCCGGCCGGCGGGTGGGAAGAGGCCCTGTGCCGGGACGCCGCAGGCCCGGGGGCTGGGGGCCGGGTGGCTGACGCCGTTGGGGGCGTTCCCAGAAGCCGGGCCGCCGAGGTTTCCCCGCAGCCGCGGGAGGAGCCGGCGGCGCCCACGTGACCCTCAGCGGCTCGGCCGACGGCCCAGAAATAGCAGCGGCTGCGGATCCGCCCGCGGGCTGAGCGAGGGGAAGGCGGGGACCGGAGGACGCCAGCTGGCGGGGGCGCGGCGCGACGCGGCTCCGGAGGATGCTGAGCCCCTGTCCGGCCCGGCCCCGAGCTCATGATGGCCATCCGGGAGCTCAAAGTCTGTCTCCTCGGGGTAAGTCCTGCGCCGCCATTGGCCGGGGACCCGGGTCCGCGCGCCCCTTGTCGGCGCGCCTCCCTCGTCCCCAGCTTCCCCTGCCCACCCCACGTCCGTGCTCCCCCCGTGTCCCCTGCAACCCCTCTCCCGCTCCCCCGGGCCCGCTCCCCGTCCGGCCCTGCTGCTTCCGGGAGCTTTCTCGACTCGTCCCTCCGCCGCCGGCCCGCGTCCCCGGAGCCGCTCCGGCCGGGCGCCCGGGACCCCTCCGCGGAGACAGGAGCCGCGGCCCCCACCTCTGAGGGCTTTCTCCTTCGCCTTTAATAATTTCCTTCCGGCGAAAACTTTAAGTTACTCAGCCAAGGCGCCGACTCCTTTTGCCTCCCTGGGCCAACTGGTTTATTTACTTGTTTAAAAAGAAAGCCCAGCTCAGGGTGAGAAAATGCGCGAGGGGGATGACCCGGCGGGAAGGTGAAGAGAGAACGCATGGCAGAAAACCGCGCCTAGGAAACTTTTAGTGCCGCGGGTAAAGGCAGGATGAGAGAGTCCTCCCTTCTCCCTACTTCCCCTCCCGAAGTGGGTCCTTCTGAGCCCGAAGAAACTTGGAAGAAGCCAGAAACAAAGACAGACACAAACACCCAAGTGGTGCGGACCTGTCAGATGGCACTGGGCAGGCCCCTGAGGACCGCCCAGGGAATTCAGATGGTGTTAAGGGTCTCCCCCTCTTGGGTGCCCGTATCAAATTCCAGAATTACTTTGGGAAGAGCTGGTTTGAAGCCCTGTTTTCAGCAGCTTTTGGTAGGGATGCCTAGTGTTCTGGCGATCTGGTTGCCCAAGAAAACCATTTCTGAAAAAAGCAGCAAAGGTTGGACTAACTGGTCTGTCAAGACGGATGTGCAGAAGTAGATGAAGAAGAAATGGTTCTAGGTTAGGACTGGGTTGTCCCAGACCAAGGGGCTGCCTGGGCTCCCTCTAGGCTCTTCTGGAACCTGGGGCAGAACGATGCTCTTGGCTGTCTCCCCTCACTGTCCTTTGTTGGAACCCCCATTTACACTAGGTCTTCGGGTTGGCCTCGAATTCCAGGGGATCAGGCAAAGGCCCCCCATTCCCTGTGACCCACCCCCTGCCTGCTCTGCCGTGGCCTGGATTTGGATGGGATGTTGTTCTGGCCTTCCTCTGTTGACCTTTATCGGTGTTGCAGGGGTAGGTTGCACCATCTGCCAGGCTCTCTAACATAAGCCAGACATAAATTCCAGGAATCGCATGCTTTCCTTGTGAGGAATCATTTCAGCCTCAAGGAAGCCCTTCAGAGACTCAGAAGGAAGGTCGGATCCCAAGGAATCAAGAGGCAGCTTTGACGTGTGTTGTGTGTGTCAGGATTGGCTTTGGCAATAAATGAAGTCGGAAGTGACTTGCCTGTCCCACCGCATGAATTATTTGCAATTTTGCTACTTAGGGGTGAGTCTGTTTCCTTCTACAAGGAACTGATCTGGTAGAAAGAGCCCTGTACCCAGAGGCAGCAAGCCTGGGTTCTCATTCTCTGCCATTCATTGGCTGTGGTGTTTTGGACGAGTACCTTAGTTGCATCGTCTGTGAAATAGACATAATAGCATCCTCCCTTTTAAGGCAGAGGACTATAGCAGATGGTCGCCTAAGATACATGGTACCATTTCCTGCTACCCTGTGATTCCAAGCCTGGGAGATGAGGAAGCTGGAGGAACTCCCTATACTTCTTTTTGTCTTATCTCTAAGAATGGAACTCACTCGTTCAGTGATTTCCTGGAGACAGTGCCTCTCCTTGTTTGCTGGTCCTTTGCAGTGGCTCAGTTGGTAGGAGGTTGGGCTTGGAAGGGAAGAACGGTCCCAAAGCAGAGCAAGAAGATGTTTCTGAGCAGATGGAGACCTTGAGGCTCCAATCCTATCACACCATATCCGTGGCCTTCTTTTTTTGAGAGTGGCTCTAGGTTTTAGTCTTGCTTAGGTCGGAAGACATCTTATTTGAAATCTTTGAAAGGGCCAGTGATCTTTTTATCACACTGAGTAATGTGTCTTAAGTTCCCCCCGTTTGGCTGGTCCTGTCCTGGGCAAGATGTGTGTGACAGGATATGTTCTCAGCTGCTCCTCCAAACCGGGTGACACTCTGGGTGAGACAGCACTTGGGTGAGGCTTCAGCCATTCTAACTGCTGGGTCTGCTCTCTTGATTTGGGGGAGAAGCCTGTGGATCCGCGGCTGGAAGAGGGAATCAGTGCCAAACCCAGCGTCCCCTCAAAATTTTAAGAGGCGTCCCGGCTCCTTTGTTCTTTGTGTGGGAGGCCTGTCTTTTCTGGATGAAGTCTTGCATGCAGCCAGCCTTCAGCTTCCTGTTTTGAGCCATTGCCCCACCTCCCTGAAATCTCAGTCTGACCCAGGCCCTAGCAGCCATGCCCACTGTGGGCGTCACTGTCTGTTGGGCCCCGCTGAAAAGGTGATGGGAATGAGGACCACTTAGCTGCAGCCTTGCTCACTCACTGGAGAGGCTGAGGGGCTGGTCCTTTTGTGCCTGGTGATTGTCCCTGTTCCTCAGTGATTACTTGGGGATATGCTTCCCATTTAAGGCACATGGTTGTGTTTGGCACGGGCGGTGCAGGCTTTCCTCTCTCTCAGCTGAAGTCTCCTGCTCCTCGAGGGGGTGGAGTTTCCCCACCGGAGGGTCATATGCAGAAGGTGGCAGTGGAGTGGGCCAGGTGGCATGTACCTGTGCCTTTCAGAACCCTGATGTTAGGCATGTCTGATCTTATTTCTTTTGGTGAGTGCTCTCAGATGGAACCACAACCATCTGTTCCTTGAATGCTTTGCACTAGCGCAGGGTTTATTTAGCCTACCTGTTAGAGATTCTTGACCCTTGCTGCTTTCATGGGTGGACTTTGTCGTGTTTCTCCCAAGCCTTCGTGAGTGCCCTTTCCTGGGATAAGCCGGGCTGTCGTGGAAGTGAGCTGGGCAGGAGGGTGTTGACAGGGGTCTGTGCTGGACTTTTAGGACACATGAGTCTCATTCTTGCCAATAAAGTGCCAATCATCCTGCTTTGTGAATCTCGGCTAGTATTATGAAACATGTAGCTTAAATGCAACTCCATTAAAAACAGCAAAGTATGTTAAAAAAAAAAAAAACTAACAAAAACAATATTGAGGCAGCAGCGTTCCAACCCCAAAGGTGGAAAGCTTCCCAGTATGCATTTTTAAAACACATCACCACGTGGCAGAAAGTGAGAGGAGGGGAAGGAGGTCGGGGGCGG